ACGCTACGGTCAAGCTACTGGAAAATGTAGTTAAACTAATAGCTTCGCTACATGTAGCTGCGCTACTGCCCATCACTGGTATCTTAGGGTTTATGTACAAGGCTCCTCTTCATGATCTGCCCACCACACACCAGCATTACACTACAAACGACCCATTAAAAGCACCACATTAATATCATTGTGTGTTTAAATGAGCCAGCTGATCAGTTTGATAGAAGGTTTGCCAATGGCAAGCACAGGCAAGACGGTGTTTAAAGGCACAGTTTAACCGAGGTGCTGGTATGTGAGGTGGAAAGTAAGATAAAAGGATTTGTTAGCCACTGTAAATAAAAGGAACTATTAATAACCTTAAGCATCTGATTAACAAGGACATTCAGGCAGCACTGCGGTTATCCCTCCCTTTGATATGTCATATTTATTTATTAATTCACAGAATAACTTTGTTCCTAAAAGCGGCTTCAGGCAGAATTTCAAATAATTGGTGTTTGTGTTTAATAGCAACTCGCACTGGCAAATGTTGACTGGAATCAGAGCGTTTAACAACAGGAATTAATAATAAAAGGTTTAATATGGACAAGAATGGTCGTGTTTGGGCTAAAACGTATTTCTTTAAGTTGTTTCCTAACATTTGACGGGTTTAAAAACATTTTTTAATTAACTAACTGCAGAATTTGACCTTGTAAATTATTTATATATGTATATATGTGAGATTAATATATTTTAGATACTGGGTAAGGAAACATTAATAATTCCTGAAAATGCAGTCCCTTCTAATTCTGCCATTTCTAAAGTCTCCACAATAGTTAAATCATTCTTCACCCACCATTACTCACGGGCGGTTCTGTGGTTTTAAAATGTTTCTAGCAACTCATCTGAATTCCTCACAATTAGTTTAATTTATTTATTGATCTGTGGTATGACTCGCACATTTGATCACTGGGTAGGGGAATGTGATGGTGAGGAAATGGAAATATGTACAGACTTTGATTCTGAATCAGTCAAACATTATACTGGGCAAGTAAAAATTGTTTTTGGGCAACTGAAATGTGAAAGCCACTTGCCCAAAGGCAACCCTTGCTATACCCCTTTCCCACAGGCCATCAGGAGTATTAGGGCCAAGCAAATAATAGTTTTTTCTATTTCGAGAAAAAAATCCTAACATTACGAGAATAAAGTCATAAAATGACAAGAATAAAGACGTAAAATTACGACAATAAAGTCGTAAAATTACGAGAATAAAGTCGTAATATTATGAGAATAAAGTTGTTACATTACAAGAATAAAGTCGTAATATTATGAGAATAAAGT